ACTAAAATATAGAAAATTTACAAAGATTATTATTGTGTGGCTAATTGATGTGACAATCATATTTCAATCCCCTTAAGTTTTATCAGAGTTCTAAATATCTTTCAATCTTTAGACTTTTCTTATTTTTTTTCGACTTAAAAATTTTTTTATCTAAAAATTTACTTTTATCTATAATGTCTTTTTGCTGTTTACGGATATTTTATTAGATCTTAAAATAAGGAATCAGCGCAGTAAAGGGAAATCAATGCAAAACCCATTGGTGCTACGTCCTTGCAGTAAGCATTATAAGCAGGGTAATGCAATATCACAGGAGCTGATCATTGAAAATGTTAATCCTTGAAAATCATACTGTATATATAAAATCTACTGCCTTTGGAATACTTTTGTCCTTTGTACGTAAAGGCAATTTCAGAAGCATATAGAGGCATATAAGTCTCTATTTAGACATTTTCCTGTATGCACACATGATTTTTAGTAGCTCAGTATAAATTGTTATAAAACAGTCATATGTCCTCCAATTTATTTCAAAATTTCGTCAAGTGACGTTTCATGAATACTGTGGAAAAATATCATTAGTCCCTTTGCGCTACAACTGTGCAATTTTTAATATCAATAAAATGTATATGTAAAGTTAACGTGCGAAAACAAAGCATGCTCCGTGAAGCATGCTTAATCAAAATAAAATAGCTGTGTATTTTTTAAGGGTCACCGGAAACCACCAAATTTTTTACGTATATTATTGGAAAATGGGTAAAAATTTTATGCCATCAACATTTCATAAAAATAGACCTTGTCTGAGAACTTTTTCAAAATGCTACGTATGTAGGGGTTTTGAGTTGATGTTTTAATTTTTTTTAAAATGGCACAAAAATTGAGAAAATGTAGCAGTAATGAGTTAAAATTTTTGGCGATGTAGAGGCAATGTTGATCTCTCCTTGAAAATGAAACAAATACATATTTAAAGATGGCCATGTATTTATGAATATTTTTTTTAAACCTACAGTTAAATTACCGCAAAACTAGTCGCAACTGAGGAGAACATCTTTGTCAATCTTTTTTTTTTAAATTGAAGTAAAAACGTAAAGTTCTAGAGAAATTAATTATTTTAAGATATGGATCTAACCTGTTCAAAATAAAACTGATCCCAATCAAAATTAACACAAAATGAATAAAATACTAATTTATTGTCTCCTTCATGCATTTACAATTAAGAAATCTTTTTGATTGTCAAGGTCAATTATATTTTAACCATTTTTGCACCTAATCAAACTAGTATTCTTGATAAAATGATTTTATTTCCATATGATAATTGTACAATTTTGGTTGAGATTGATTTAATTTTGATCGGAATTGGCCAAAATTTAGAAAAATATTTTCTCTAAAATTTGTCGATTTTGTTTGAATTTCTTTTATACAAATGATTAACTAACATGTTTTCCCAAATTGTGACTGGTTTTGTGAATATTTTATCCACAACTTTAAAGAAAATTTACAAATAATGTGTTTTATTTTCATAATTATAAAATATTTTTTTTAGTTATAAAAAATAGGTATCTACACAGCTTTTCTTTACATATTTTATTAGATATTCATTTAATGCATTCATTTACAGCAAAATTTTAAATCCAAAGCATCTAATTTGAACATTAATTATTTTCTTCATTTTATTTGGAAAAGTACAAGAAAAAAAGTCATATTAATATTTAAAATAATTAAGCTATTATCAGCCTTTCAATGCTCAAACCATACTTAATTAGGGATGTCTTAAAGATCTATTTGATAAAATGTTGGTGTGGCATTCCTCCTTAATTTTTTAAAAGATTTTTTGACATTTCTTTGATTTTGTTTCATTCTGAGCCAACTTTAATTTTTTTTAGCTCTACTGGTCAGAAGCCAGAAGAGTTTATGCGATTGTATTGTGTCTGTCCTTCTGTCTGTCTGTATAGCTGTCTGTCCATCTGTTTGTCTGTAAACAACTTTTCAAAATGCTACTCCTCCTACAGTTTTGGTCTGATTTCAATATAACTTGGCACACATGTAGTCTACACAAAGATACAGAATGTACATAATTCTATGTATTGGTTTTTGATTTTGATAAATGGTGTTTTAATGGTGTTGCTGTGGTTATCAAAATTAGGAATTTATATTAAATATTTTCAAAATGCCAATCAGACAATATATCTGATTTCAATATAACTTGGACTAAGAAGTAATTTACACTGGAAAATACATAATTCTGTATATCGGTTTTTGATTTCAATAAATCCATAATTTTGATATATCTGTGAAATACTTTGAAAATGCTACTCATCCTACAGTTTTTGTCTGATTTTGAATACATGTATAAATTGATTGGCACACAAGTAGACTTCATAATGTTATGTATCTGATTTTGATTTTGATTAATGTTGTTGCCATGGTTACTTAAAATAGAAATTTCTTTAAAATACTTAAAAAGTGCTACTCCTCTTACAGTCTTGAACTAATTTCAATATAACTTAGCACACAGTAATTTTAAATACAATAATTCATTTTTATTTTGATTGCTGTTGCAAAAATGGTTACTAAATATACAAATTTCTGTAACTAAAATTTATAAAAAAAATATTTTTTTTTAAAAGCTTTTCCTACAGTTGTAGTCTTATTGCAATATATTGCCACAAAAAGAGACTTAATCATGGATCATTATCCTATTTATTGCTGTTGTAAAGTTTCTATTCCCAACTGCTACTTTTCTCTTCCTTTCTTATAAATACAAACCAGTAGCACTTCATTTATTTTTGATTTTGTTCTCAATCAGAATTATAATGATTGGTATTTGGTAAAATAATTTACATGTAACTGATAAAAAAATACTTTTTATGTATTTTAAATTTTTTGAATATGTTTTTTAATTTTTTTTTGGGGGGGGGGGGGAAATTCCACCTCAGGGAAAAGTTAAAACTTTTACCTAAAAAGTCTGCTTTTTTCAAGGACAGAGTGAAACACATAGAATGTGGTTTTGAAAGATGGGATAGAACAAGATCTAGATAAGATAGATAAAGTCTGGCCCAGACCTTCTAAGGCAGATAAAGTTTATAGGCTCCTACCACTGCTTCATCAAAGACTTCACAAAGATAACAAAGCCATTTAATGCTAGTTAAAAGCATGCTAGTAAGCATATAAATATTTGTTAGAGAAGTATATATAAGATAGGAGAGATCAAATTGCTAAATGGGAAGTAGTATTCTGTGATGTTTAAATTTATTCTCCTTAGAATTGGGGAGAGAGTACATTTTTATTTTTGGGGATCTTCTAAAAGGTAAAATGGGGAGTAAAATGATAAAAATGGGATCTTTTCATAATAATTTTAGAGTTTTTAGATCTTATTTATATTTATATTTAGAGAGAGTGTGGGAGAGAGTGGGGAGAGAGAGGGAGAGGGTGGGGAGTGAGAGAGGGAGTGGGGAGAGAGGGAGAGTGAGGGAGTGGGGAGAATGGGAGAGAGAGAGAGGGAGTGGAGAGAGAGAATGAGGAGGGAGAGAGAGGGAGAGAGTGGGGGAGAGAGGGAGGGAGAGAGAGAGAGGGATGGAGTGGGGAGAAGAGGGAGAGAGTGGGGTGTGAGAGAGGGAGTGGGGAGAAAGGGAGAGAGAGTGGGGAGAGAGGGACAGAGAGAGAATGGGGAGTGAGAGGGAGGGAGTGAGGAGAGAGAGAGTGGGGTAGTGGAAAGAGTGGGGAGTGAGATGGAGGGAGAGAGAGAGAGAGAGAGTGAGAGAGAGAGTGGGGAGTGAGAGGGATGGAGTGGAGAGAGAGAGAGAGAGAGAGAGAGAGAGAGAGAGAGTGAGAGAGAGAGAGAGAGAGAGAGAGAGAGAGAGAGAGAGAGAGAGAGAGAGGAGAGAGGGATGGAGAGAGGTGAGACTTATTGAGAGTTAGAGTTAGTGACTGACGAGTGTTGGAGAGAGTAGGAGTGAGAGAAGAGAGAGTGAGAAAGAGGGAGTGAGAGAGTGAGAGGAGAGGAAATGGGGAGAGAGAGAGAGAGAAGAGTGGGGAGAGAGAGGGAGGGAGAGTTGGGAAAGAGGAGAGAGAGAGAATGGAGAGTGAGAGGGAGAGAGGGAGATAGAGTGGGGAGAGAGGGAGAGAGGGAGAGAGAGAGGGGGTGTGGGGAGAAAGAGAGAGGGAGTGGGGAGAGAGAGAGGAGGGAGTGAGGAGAGAGAGAGAGAGGTAGTGGGGAGAGAGAGAGAAGGAGGGAGTGGGGAGAGAGGGAGTGGGAAGAGAGTTTGGAGTGAGAGGGAGGGAGTGGAGAGAGAGAGGGAGTGAGAGGGAGGGAGTGGAGAGAGAGAGGGAGAGAGATTGGGGAGTGAGAGGGAGGGAGTGAGGAGAGAGGGAGAGAGAGAGTGGGGAGAGAGGGAGAAAAATTGGGGAGTGAGAGGGAGGGAGTGGGGAGAGAGGTAGTGAGAGAGGGATTGGGAGAGAGAGTGGAGAGAGAGAGAGAGAGAGTGGGGAGAGAGGGAAAGAGAGAGAGAGAGAATGGGGAGTGAGAGAGGAGTGAGGAGAGAGGGAATGAGAGAGAGAGAGAGGGAGTGGGGGAGAGGGAGAGGGAATGCAGAGAGAGGGAGTGGGGAGAGAGTGGGAGGGAGTGGGGAGAGAGAGAGAGTTAATGAGTGGGGAGTGAGAGAGAGAGTGGGAGAGAGAGAGAGAGGGAAGAGAGAGAGAGAGAGAGAAAGGAGTGAGAGGGATGGAGTGAGGTGAGACTTATTCATACAAGTTAGTGTGACGAGTGTTGGAGAGAGTAGGAGTGAGAGAACGGGGAGTGAAAGGGAGGGAGTGGGGTGTTAGAGGGAGGAAGTGGGGAGAGAGGGAGAGAGAGAGAGTGGGGAATGAGAGAGGGAGAGAGAGAGAGAGAGAGTGTGGAGAGAGGGAGGGAGTGGAGAGAGAGGGAGAGAGGGAGAGAGAGAGAAAGAGGGAGTGGGGAGAGAGAGAGAGAGGGAGAGAGGGAGAGAGAGTTGGGGAGAGAGGGAGTTATGGGGAGAGAGAGGGAGAGAGAGAGGGAGAGGAGAGAGAGGGTGTGGGAGAGAGAGGGAATTGGGAGAGAGAGGAAGTTGGGAGAGAAGAGTTGGGAGAGAGGACGAGTTGGGGAGAAAAAGGGAGGGAGTAGAGAGAGAGGGAAGGAGAAGAGAGAGAGAGAGAGGGTGTGTAGAGAGAGGGAGGGAGTGGGGAGAAAGAGGAAAGGAGGAGCGAGAGAGAGAGGGAGTGAGAAGAGAGATAGAAAGGGAAGAGATGGAGTGGTGAGAGAGAGGGGAGTAAGAAGAGAGGGTGAGGGAGTGGAGAGAGAGAGAGAGGGTATGAGGGTAGACGGGGATAGAGAGAGTGTCGTGAGAGAGGGAGGGAGTGGAGAAAGAGAGATGGAGGGAGTGGGGAGAAAGTGTGTGAAGAGAGAGAGAGAGTGAGAGAAGGAGTAGGCAGAGAGAGAGAGATGGAGTGGGAAGGGAGGAGGGAGAAGAGAGAGTTAGTGAGAAGAGAGAGGGGGAGTGAGGAAAGAAAGAAAGAGTGGGGAGAGAGAGGAGTGAGGAGAGAAAGGGAGTGGGGAGAGAGGGAAGGATTGTGGAGAGAGATACATGTACATGTATACAAGATATACTTTAGAGCTGATTTACGATGTTTGGCACTTTCCAGAAAGCAGTCAAGATTTAAACTTTCACAGCGATACCTTCCTCAAGATCAAACAGGAGGCTTCAGGATTTCCACCCGAGTGTCATACGGAAGGACAATAGCAAGATTACATTTGTCAAGTAATAAAGAAGGAATCCGAATGGACCTGCTCAGTTATGAGGAAAATCCAGTACGAAGAACGATAGCCAATCTCTTTTTAAATTAATTTTGAAGAAAATTTGCTCAACGACCTAAAACTCTATACTTGACCGATTGATTGTAAATTGTTTAACATCCCTCTCGAGAATTTTTTTACTCATAAGGAGACGTCACCGTATGCCGGTAAGGGCTTCAAATTTAGACATATACTGGCACTCAGGGCAATTGAGCATTCTTTATCTACGCTTTTAACAGGTTTGGGACCAATAGCCCAAATGGGATATAATGGTCCGTTTGGGAAATAATATTCTGAATGGGCTATAAATTTAAAATTGAGTGACCAGGTTCATGTTTTTGAGCATGTGTAAACTCGACTAACTATAAGCCCTACCTGGGCCAAACTTGCATGGGTGATGCATATTCCAAAGTAACTATATGCCCTGCCTGAACCAAACTTGCATGGATGATGCATCAAAGGATGGACACTACCAGACTTGATTCGGATGTTGGATCTGACCTATATTTTTCAGATGAGTGACCAAGTTATTCACAAAAAACTATAAGCCATATCTTGACCAAACTTGAATGGATGATGCATCCAACGATGGACACGACCAGACTTGATTCAGATGCTGGATCTGGCCTACATTTTTTAGATGAGTGACTTACAAGAAATAATAAGCCCTACATGGACCAAACTTGCGTGGATGATGCATCTGAGGATGGACAATCGAGACTTCTTTCTGATACTAGACATGACCTACACTTTCCAGGTAAGCTTCGTAATCTTTGATTACCTATGTTTGAAATATACTATATATTTTTACTGTTTTTCCTACTATAGTGCAAGTTAAGAAATATACTGGATAAAAGCAGATCCCCGATATTTTGCTTGAGAAAATTACGAGGCCTACGAGAAAATCGCCCATCTATATTTATCATATATTCATGTTCATGTAAAAATAAATTGCAACAATTGTGAAAATCTCAATTTTATACCTCATTTTACATGTTACATGTATAATATCACGAAACAACTGTTTGATTACAACTCATTACATTACAGTACAGGTTGTTTGGAAAAAGTGTAAATTTTACAGATTAAAGTGTAAATTTAACAGATTAAAGTGTAAATTTTACAGATTAAAGTGTAAAAGTGATGCCCGAGATTATTTCAACATTAATTTTGAGACTTTAAATACCTGGGTAACGTATTTAAGGGGTATCATTCCTATTGTAGCTAAGGATTGGATATAGGAAATCTTTTCAAAAGTGACAATACCCGTTAATACCCTTCCCCGCAGTCACGCATTTTAACGCATATACCATTTCCTATTTCTAACACAAAATCACGCATTTACCGTTTCCCCACAATCACGCATTTTCACGCACTTTAAAAAGTTCATTTTATCTTCAATTTATTGCCAAATTCCAACTATTTTATACTTGCTTGAATCTCATGAAATAAGAAAAGTTATTTTCTAACTAAAATATTATTTCAGAATATTATTTACGCTAAACTTTAGAGAAGTTTGTACCCCGCTATAAAGTGCTTGCGGGGAAATGGTAAAGTAATATTTCTATGACGCGAGGATTCAATGTATGTTGCATAGCAATTCCAAAAGTTGTAAAGAGTTAAAGCACATACAAAATATAAAAGAAAAGCATATCTAAGTTATGTTGAATCAGTTTATTCCAACGGTCAAGAGGTGCGTATCATAACCTGTATGTTTTAAAAATTGTCGTAAACGCTATACTCGTTACCACTACAAAAAGGTTGCATTACCGCTACATTAATTATAATACTTTACCGCTACATTGCCTCTTTCGTTAGTCAGAGACTTGTTCATGTATAAGTTCTAGGGATGTCAAAATATATATTTTCCTTAGTCGAACATTCGATTGCATTATTCGAACGATAGTCGACTATTCGGAACATTTTTTTCATAATAAAATCTTGATTTCCGTTTTACTTTTGTTTGCATAGACTATGCAAGAGTTATCCTTCTTTGGTGTTTGCATAACGTGTGCTTTTGACAGATATTCACAGGCACTTGACTTGTAGCTATTATGTTTACATGAAATTATATTTATTTAGTTTTAATATGCATCAAAAACTACCAGCAAATATTTTTAAACTCATATAAATAAAATACGATAAACACAGCATCTACACGTCAGGTGCCCGTGTGACATTGTTAATACCGCGATTACCGTTACTTTAAAACAGCTAAATGCCCTAGCTTACAACACTACAAAGTATGCGTGTTTTTATTAAAGTAATTATCAAATTATCAAAACGTGTCTCGGCTACCGTGTGTGAACCTTTGAACATTACTAAAATAACAATATTATGGATACATGGAATGTAATGACTAAATAACTGTGTTTTCATTATAATTTTAGAAACAAAACCCAGCACAGTGATTCATAATTTATCAGAAAAACAGTAGTTATTGACAATTATCAGATTATAGAAGAACATTAAATTAATAACCATTTATACATTGATAATGAAAAATCAACAGTTTTTGTTCAGAAAAATAATTTTGTCTACAATTTTTTCATAAACAGATAAATTTGTAATCAAGTGTTATCGCTCTTTTTTATCGTATTTTATTTAGTCGATAGTCGGTCGCATTATTCGATAGTCGGTCCTTTCGACTGACAGTCGAATAGTCGACTATTCGTTGACATCCCTAATAAGTTCATAAAAATTTCAACATGCACACACATACATGCATGAGACATCCCTTTGCTCACCACGGGATGTTGATAAGATTTTGAACAGGGTGTTTTTTTTAAAAAATTCTTTATCATAAATTGATTTTATTCAATACAATATTAGAAGTTTTAAATTAAAATATTTAGATCTTTAAAGGTCATTTTCTTCTCGATCTGTACTGCCTGACGTTCAGAAATCTCTTAAATGAATCATAATGAAAAGATCTTACAATTCTGTGGCATTGCTGGCTGACTCGATATGATTGATTGATTGATTGTATACTGTTTAACGTCCCTCTCCAGAATATTTCACTGATATGGAGACGTCACCATTGCCGGTGAAGGGCTGCAAATTTAGGCCTATGCTTGGCACTTACGGCTGCTGAGCAAGGAGTGATCTTTATCGTGCCACACCTGCTGTGACACGGGGCCTCGGTTTATACGGACTCATCCGAAGAACCACGGGGGTATGTACATCGGTAATAGCTGACTCGATATGTACATCGGTAATGGCTATTATTCGGTGATTGTGAAATGTCTTATTGATAAAATATAGCGGTAATGATTATCCAAAAAATTACAAAAAATGTAGAAGTAAAGAGCTGAACTTTTTCATAATGTAGCAGAAATGTTGACCTCCCGATGTGGCCAAAGTTAGAGATCAGATCATGTTGAAAGTTTTGGTTTAACACTGATGCAAGTAATGTGGATTAAACTTGGATTAAATCATAACTCTCTTTCGGATATATTTTGGTATACAATATAGTAAAAAATTATGAAATTAAAGAAAATTTCAAGGTCAGCTGCTAAAATAAAATACATGTACATGTATTTGGATATAACGAACAGTAGTCATGCAAGCTCAAAAGTCCATAAAACAATACAAATTAATAGCAGAGAATACAATAACCTCCAATACATCAGAGGTGGGATCAGATGCCATGAGGAGGAGTGGGCATCCATTGCCGACCGATCACACCCACCATGTGCTCCTTGTTTTGATTGGGAAATAGCTGAGAAATCCGTCTTCAATGCAGTGTCTAAAAACAGTCAAACAATTTGTATGAAAAACGTCTAATTCAACATTTGACTCAATGATAAATTGCAAGTTGATGAGAGTGCTATTGTATCGACCATATAACATACGGAATGATGTTTGTAAACAAAACTGCTGATATTCTTGTTTCATGTACTTGTTTGTCAATAATTTACCTCTTTTTTAAAACTGTACATACGTAGAGCAGGGTCAGTGTAACTCATGTGAGCGTACTAGCCCAATGGGCATCTTGTTCCAGCTGATCAGTCCTCAGGCACGTAGCAACGGGGGGGGGGGGGGGGCTAGGGGGGGGGCCTGCCCCCCCCCCCCACTTTTTTACCCAACATTACCTTTACTATAGAAAATGTCCATGGAAAAGATGGTTCCCCCCCCACTTTTTACCACAGTGTATTTAATAGGAAATATAGGAAAGAATTGGAAGTGAAAGGAAGTTGGCCTTGAAAAAAGTTGGCTACCCCCCACCCCCCTCCACACACACACACACACACCACGAAATAGGATTTTTGAGTTTGGACAACTTTTAATTTTCCGTTTTTTTTTTTTTGTTTGTTTTTTTTTTGGCCTGTCAACTTTTTCAGGCAAGTAAAAAAAATTTTCTCTGGTTGGCCCCCACTATCAAAAACGATGCTACGTGCCTGGTCCTTTCCACCTCCCTAACGACAGAATGATGGGACTTGCCTTTAATTTAAACGAAACAAAGTTCTCCACCCCCTTCTTATTTTCTTTCCCTTGTGTAATTCATATATTTAAAGTGCCTACAAACATATTTTTTAAAAACGGAAGCGAAAGTAGGATGGATTTCCTGGAAATTAAACGAGTAAAGAATGCTTCATCTGAAACCGTCAGCTATACGGTATA